TTCTCCGGCTGGATACTTGGCCTTTTCCAACGCTCCAGCCTGAAACCTTGTATTTTTTCAGGCTGCAAATTAGAATTTCTCTGACCGGGGAGTTGTCCCCTCCCCTTCACCATTTACCACCCCCTTCCCTCGTGTCAGGTGGAGAAGCATCCGCTGCTCATGTGGAAGCCCAATACGAAGTTCGCTGTGCCTCTCTGGGTGGACAACCCAACCAGTGGCAGCGGCAAACGCATTGGCTTCGAGCAAAAAATCCGTGCCCTGGAGAAACACTTGCTGATGTGGTACAAGCCATTGACGGCCGCGGGTCGCAGTGCCCTTTCCTTGAACATGCTAGACACGGAAGCTTGCAATGCCTTCAAGACGGAGTCCACATGGTACACCGTGCACCTGCTCCAAACGGTGGACGCGAAGGGAGAGCATTACTTCAAAGTCGGGCGGACGCGCTCCTCCTGTCTGCAGCAGCGTTTCCATTCCTACCAGATGGAGTTGCTTGCCGTGGAGCCGAAGCTGTCTCTTGTCTGTGCGCTTCAGATCTGCTTGGTGTCTTCAAGCTTGCACGCCATACAGTTTGAGGGCAGGATTCACAAGATTATGTTGGCACACAAGCCTGAGCTGCTTCTAGGAGCACGGGAAAAAACAAGGGAGATCTACTTCGTCGATGCATTACCGTACCTCAAGGCTCTGTTCATAGAGACGGCGGCTATGGGCAAGGACGAGTTTCTCGCCGAGATGGCACAGCGCAAAGTCACAACAAAAGTTTTCTCAGGTGGCATCATAAGCACAAGCATTCCGGATGACACGACCGAGGCCGAAGAGACCGAGTAAATGCTGTCCTGTACAGATCCGAGTGTGCTCCAAGTGTGCGCTGTCCAACATGGTCACGCCATGGCAGCCTGAATGTCACGCCATGGCAGCCTGAATGATCAAGCTCATAAAAAGGTCATAATACGCGGTGCATCTGTTTTTGACATTCTTCGTCACGCCATCGCTGCCCGCCGTGAGGCTGCCTGGAGCTGGCTGAAGATCAGCTGGTTGGAAGCTGAGATAGAGGCATCCTTCAGCCAGTTGGCTCGTGAGCTCCGAGGATCGCTCCTTGTGGCGCCTCTTCGTCGCGGCGAGGGAGGCCGCCTTTAATCGGAAAGTTCTCAGGCCCAGGCTGACCGGAGATTTTCCTTTGCAAAGAGGACGAATCAGGTGTCCTGTCCGCCAGTCAGCTGGAAGAGGCCAGCCTCATCGCAGAGCCTGGTTTAGCAAGCGATTGTTCTGCATGGAGTGCTGTGGAGCATCCCACAGGCCTAGAGGCCTTGTCCAGTCGGAAAGTGTTTTTCTTTTCAGGTTCTCCACGGTGATGTGTCAGAGGCTTCTGCCGCTGGCGGCAAGGAGCTTTCTTGGCCAACGATCTGCTTTCAGCTTGCGTGGCAATGGGTGCGGGTCGGCTTGCCTGAAGCAGGATGCCGCGGCGGAAAGCAGGAGCCTCGGAGAGGTGGTCGCAGTGTCAACTTGGACAGGAAACTTTTCTTCAACTTGTAGAAGAAACCCCGAGCAAGTGCAGAGGTGCAGAACTTGCATTCTGTGGCTACGGTGCCCTGCGGCTGTCTCGCATAATGACAGATGCTACGTCTCATTGAAGCCGTTATCTGTCTGCCAAATTCAGATTCAAGGTGTAGCAGACCTTGTCGATATGCCAACAGACCCAGACGCCTGCTGCTGTGGTAGTGACGAAGTAACATGGGAAGATACGTTGATCCCTGATTTATGTATCTACGTCTTTAATTCTGCTTGGTCAGTTCCCTCATCTATGCATCCGTTCATTCGTCTTGTCGCTATGAAAGAATACACGTGCCCACACAGAAATTGCTTGCATGCTCGCCTGTCAACCTGCATGCGTGGATGGCGCCTAGCACCGCGTTTGTGAATCGGCACACATTCTCACAAATTTAGACATGCGGGCGGTGCAACGGATGGCTTCCTTCCTTGCTGCTCATTCCTTATCGTGTATATTTGTAAATGTGCCTTTATGTTTTTGTGTTGGAATCTGCCATATTATGATTTGTTTAATTGCTCGTTTTATGGTTAATGTGATCATGATTATGACTACAGTTGTGATTTGTCGTCACTGTCGGCATTGTTGTTTTATATGTACCTATGCATAAGCCTCTCACCGTCTCTCTCACCGTCTCTAACCCTATCTCATCTCATCTAGTCTAATGTTAATGTAGTCGTACCTTGTCAAACTTGAATTAACTTACCAAGTTGTCTTATATACACATTTGTAATCCAACCTGACCTGGTCTCGTCTCGTCCAGTCTTACCTACATGAAGTTAAAGGAACCTAGCCTAGACCGAGTCCTATCCTTTCTTATCTTATTCAATCTTATCTCTGTCTTGTCTTACCAACCTATCCACCTGCCCACCTATCCATCTCCTTCCATCTTTTCTCGGTTCATCCATCTAGACATCTATCCATCCATCCATCCATCCATCCATCCATCCATCCATCCATCCATCCATCCATCCATCCATCCATCCATCCATCCATCCATCCATCCATCCATCCATCCATGCAGCCATGCAGCGATGCATCCATGCATGTATGCATCTGTGCACCCATCTGTCGGTTCATTTCTCCCTCAAGAGCTCTTGATCTTTGCCTGCTTTCGTGTCTGTCTGATTCTACTTAGCTCACCATTCCTAGTGGTCCACCTACCTGTCGAATCCACTTTCTCAATGCTTGCTGCAGGTTTCAAGCGAAGTGGGCAGTGCTTAAGTTCGCTGGGTGCCAAAATCAGGTTGTTCGCGGGACGACACTGCTGGCTAATAGGTATTCTTGCGGCTCCGTTGAGGCAGTGTGCCACGCATGTGGCGACTCGTAGGTGAGCGAACAAGGCCGCCAGGCCGAGGAGGCATGATGTAATGAATGTAATGGATGGTGTGCTCGACGAACAGGGGCACAGGGTTTTGGAGCTGGTTACAGGAGTGAATGCCAGCATTGTGGTGAGGTTAATCCCAGAGTTGGATCTTGTTTGATGGTGGTCCTGCTTTGGCCTGGCAGCAAAGAGACTGCATCTCAAAACGAGGCTGTGCTCGCGAGTGCCTTCGTTCCGCGATGGACCCGGGACTCACGGCCAGCGAGGCGAGGACAAACGGAGGTTGAACAACCCCACGTCGTTCTGTCGTTGCTAGCTGCAGCAGGCTGTTCGCCACATAGCTTCAGGCAAACTCCGGACTTGCTCTGTCGTCATGCCACGGAAGCCAAACGAAGACACGGTCATGGAAATGCCAGGCAACGAAGTCACGTTCGAGCTGCTTAAGGAGCTCGCGGCCCAGACAATAAGCTTGCCCATACATCGGTACAGCCAGGGATGTATAGTGCAGATGGCTCCCAGGTTTGTCCTGCAGCGCCACAACGCCGCCTGTGCTGCTGCAGCCAAACAATCAGGTGCACATAAACCAACAGGAAGCGGAAGCATTTGCTGAGCCGCTTCCCGCCCGATCTGGCCGGTTGTCAGGTCATGCATCGCCAGAACATGACGCTGGCAACGTATGCGGCGATGGCCACGATCGCTCTGACTCTGTGCAAAATCTCCGACCACCATGGCAAGACAAGTAAAATTGACATCTGGGCACGTGGCCAATGTAGCCATGTCCACAGGCAAACCTTGAGTTTCTTAGGTGCGGCTGTTGGAAGGTTTCCTTCTTGCGCCTTGAGCATGTCATGTTAGCTCCACGGGTCTTTCAATGGGACTTGTGCAGAATCCCTCACTTCCAACGGCTGCTTCTGGGTTTCAGGACGGAAAGCCAAAGCCTATAAGCTTTCCATGTTTAGTGACTTTCACATCGAATCGACGAAGAAACGTTCACATACTTTCCTATCTGGGTCAATGCATCAACAGCAATAGCGGCACGAAAACAGGCTTCATTTGCCAACATGTCGGTGCACTGCAGCCTGCAGCAGCCGGGGCACCGTGTGACTGCTTAAGAGCTCCACAGATGCTATTGTTTGCCCGCAGTTTGCTTAGCGGCTCAAGTCAGATGTGTCGGGCACGGAGCTGCGGCGGAGCAGCGCGGGACCCTGCTGGCATGCAGTCCTCATTTGGAAGCTGCGCATGACATCGCATGACTCGTCTTGGCATTCAGGTGCCCCAACGGCACCATGCTTCCGGTATCGGGTCTCGGGACAACTGTGCAGTAGCTCTTCACCTCAGTATGTTGTGAACGGAGTGTCGTTGCACCGAGTTGGTCGTTGGCCTGGCACTGGTCCTCTTACTGAACTGCTCATGGATCGTCGCTGTTGTCATCGTAGCGCCTCGGCGTAAACTCAACTGAGAACTCTTGTAGAAACCCGCTTGTGGCATCGATGCTCAGCTGTGCTCCGTAATGTTGCCTCTCAAACAGGCCTTCAGCCATACTGTTGCTGCGGCATGGAAAAGGAGCGTCGGCGAGGGAACCTCTTTGCTTTAGAGGCTTCCGCTACCTTCTACAGTGGCACCGGAGCCTGAGTTTCGCGGCTGGGACCTACGTGCGCGACTCCGTGTACCCGCTTCGCGCCCTCCGGCTCTTCTACTTGATTCTCGACCCCGTCTAGGTTGGCAGCCCAACTTTGATTGGTGCCGAGATCTGGTGAGGACCTGGCGGGCGAGTATCACAACTGCAAGCTGTGCCCAAAATCGGGGCTGGGAATTTGACCTTT